ATATTGGAGGATATTATCTTATACAATACCATACCAAATGCTGGATAGTATTAAAATTTAATCAGATCTTATACTATTAGGCCTTATTCAATACTACGCATCAAACATGCCCTTATTATAGCATCTCGTAGTCCAAGTGATATACCATTTAGACGAATAAGTACATGATTGCTCAGTGTATTCTAATAAGTATTTGAATTGGGAAAATTTTAATTTCATTTGTGATTATATAATATGGAAAATATTATTCTCCTTTTACATAAGATAACTTCTCTCATGCTCTCTCACTTTGATTTTCGCACCCTACCTTTTTTTCTTGTAATGGTGGGATCCATCTATTTTCTCTCTACAATATAAGATAATTATCTTATGTGAAAGGAGACTAATAAAGCCCATATAATATATCGCTTAACTTTATATAATTTTAAACTTCTCATTTAGTAGGGGTGTTCATCAACCGATCCAAACCGATTCAAACCGCGATAACCGAACCGAAAAATCGATAATCGAATAAACCGAAAATCGAAAAACTGAGAACCGAATAAAAACCGCAAATTTTAATTGGATTGGATCGATTTTCGGATGGTTGATGAAAACCGATCCAATCCAAACCGATCCAATATATTAATTCTCCTCTACCTACTTGGGTCTTTCCTCCCATCATAGCCAAAAAAATTTTAAACCCAAGACCTATTAACCCATCAACTAAACCCAAGAAAAAACATAGTCACATCTCATCAACAAAAATTTATTTGTGTAAAGCTTCATATCTAATTGCAAAAAAAAAAAACTATATTATCATTTACTTTTCTGTTTAATTTTTTTTTTACAAAGTCTATTATACAAAAAAATGTTATTTGCACAATAACCATAAAACAAATTTTAAGATTTTCAAAAAACCGAAAACCGATCCACTCCAAACCGAAAAAAATTGGATTGGATCGGATCGGATTTGAAAAAAAATCCAAACCGAATGGATGATTACATGATCAAACCGAAGAGATTGGATCAGATGATTTTTGCTTCCAAAACCGATCCAATCCAGACCGCGAACACCCGGTTGTTATGGAAATATATCACTCAAAACTTGCGAATTTAAATTATCATTTAAATCCATCGTAGATACAAAAGCGTATTACTTAGATCCATTATGATCTTCACACACACACACACATATATATATATATGGGGAGGGATCTTTTGACTCTAGAATAAGACTTACAACTCTTACTCCTCATCTCAACCGTTGATTTCCGTCCATCTAACGGTTATTATTTATTTGAATTAAATAAATAATTAATTGTTATAGAAAACCGTTAGATGGAGGGAAATCAACGGTTGAGATGAGGAGTAAGAGTTGTAAGTCTTACTCTAAAGTCAAAAGATCCCTTCCCTATATATATATATATATATATATATATAGGATTTTTGACCCTTTTACCCTTCATTAATTAATTAATAACCATTTTGTCCCTTATTCAAAACTATCTACCAATCTGCCCCTCTTTAATCGATCAACTTGAAGATTTAATCGATTAAATGGTCAAAATTGACAAAAAAGATTGACTTGAAGATTTAATCGATTAAATCTTCAAGTTCTTCAAGTCAATCGATTAAATCTTTAAGTTAATCGATTAAATCTCCCAACAGGAAATAAAGGTCAAATATCCTCCATAAACAAAAGTAGATTCCATGCATATGAAGCAAATCAACAAGTTAATAAGAGTTGATTGCGATTTGTATTTAATAGGAGCGGATTGCGTTTTGTATTTAATAGAAGTTGATTGTGTTTTGTATTTAATAGGAGCTGATTGCGTTTTATTAGGAGTTGCCATTTTACGAGTTGGTTACAGATTGTCATCAATTCAAATTTATTTGTAATTTGTAATACGAAACACATTCAACCCCTATTAAATACAAAACGTAATCAGCTCCTATTAAATACGAAACACAATCAATTAATTCTTTCACGCTCATTTAGTATATTTATTCATTTCAATGAAATATTATCCATAAATAGGCTCAGAATTACAAATTACAAATAAATTTGAATTGGTGACAATCTGTAACCAACTCGTAAAATGGCAACTCCTAATAAAACGCAATCAGCTCCTATTAAATACAAAACACATTCAACTCCTATTAAATACAAAACACAATCAGCTTCTATTAAATACAAAACGCAATCAATCAATGCTTTTACGCTCATTTGATATATTTAATCGATTAAATATAAGTTTTAATCGATTAAATCAATTAAAAGGGAGATTTAATCGATTAAATCTTCAAATCAACCATTTTTCTCAGTTTTGAATATAATCGATTAAATCTTCAAGTTAACCGATTAAAGAGGGACAGATTGGTAGATAGCTTCGAATAAGGGAAAAAATAGTTATTAATTAATTAATGAAGGGAAAAAAAGTCAAAAAGCCTATATATATATATAATTAGGATCATTTTATATAGTGTAAGTTACACTCTCAATCTTGGCTGTTGATTACACTTAGATCTAATGGCTCTAATTTTTTAGTAATGTGAGTCATTGGATACAAGGGCATTGATGGTCAAAATCGATTGTAACACTTCTTATTTTTACATCGGTGTAAGAATATCTTGCCTCATATATATATATTATCAATTAAAATTATTATATAATTAAGTATCAAAGATTAAATTAAAAATTATGATAAAAATAAATTAATTAATTAAAAATTAAAATACTATTTATGACAAATTAAAGTAAATACTTATTTAAGCCAAACTAAAGTAACTATATTTTACAAATATATTTTAATTTATATGAATAATTATTTAAATTTAATTCTTTATTTATTTTAATTGATGATGATATCACTTGTACGGATATATTTGTGATCTTATATAGTCTAATTTTTATCCTATATTATTGTAATATTATTGTTCGGTTCTCAAGTGTGTATGCAACTTAAATCAAGAACTCACATGCAAGTGTATACGGACACAAGTAATATATAATGAATGAAAGGATATCATTCCCACAGGGATAATTTGTAGAAATGTAATCTCATAGTTTATAATTGACAACAACAATGTATTTTTATGGTTTCTTATTTTTATATGAAATATTTGTGGTTCTTTTTAACGGAGAGACAATGAGAATTGATATAAATAGGTAAACAAAAATTTACACTGAACAATGGTAACACTAACAGTATTACGACACAAATACAAGAGATGATCAATTATATAAATGGACCAGACATGATTTCCCTCTTAAAGCACTTCAATCCTATAAACTGACTAAACCTGTTACAGCAGCTAATTCAACCATGAAACTGTTGGATATATGCTCTTTTGGTCACTAAAGTCCTATTGAGCTTCAGTGACACTTGAGCCCATGAGGCTTAGGGTTGAGTTATGTCTACATTCGTTTATAATTCTTATTCGATATTGCTTTTAATTTTAATCGGTTAATCGCTTTAATCCATGGTTAGATTCTCTCGTGTATTTCTTGATTTGTAACAAGGAGGCTAATCCCATATGATTAGGTTTCCTCCTTGCTGTTTTTGTTTTTTTTTTTGGAATTTCTATGTATTTTTCGAATTTCTGTAAAAATTGGAGATCAAGAAATTGCGAAGAACATGAGGATTCAACACTGTCTGAGACTTTTCGTGGACCTCTGGACCTCGGAATTGGACGATCCATATATGGTTGGAAAGAGGACGGAAAGAAGATCAAAATGACGGGTGGATCGCCGCCGTTAGATCTCCCACGCGCCTCCACGCGCCACATCAAGTGGCTGAGAGTGGGCTTCACTCTCCGGGAGAGATACAGAGCGTGGGGGCGCGTGCCACACCCTTTTTGGGTGGTTCCGGCGACCGTGTTCTCGTCTCCCCGTGGCGGTCCTTCCCCTGGATTTTCGTGTTGAGATGACTTCGGCTGACGGCGCGGCAAAACAGTTGGCTAGGGTTCCTTTTTTTTTGTCTCCTAGGGTTTCTAGCAAAGGATTGGGTCTTTGGGCTTGTGGGCCCATAGATACCCTAAAGGGGCTTTAGACAGATACTAGGAGCTGGACAGAAAAGGAATTTCAAAGTTGTAATTTTATTTATTCATTGATTATTATAGGAAAGCCATGGATTAAAGTTATTTATTTATTATTTAATGTTTTAATTGAATGGTATGAATTATATGTGCGATTAAACATGATGTATAAAATAACATGTCATATAGAATAGGAAGATGCCATATTGTTGCATGATCACATGTCATTACTGCATAGTAGCTATTATGTCTTGAATCGACTAGTATGATAGTTAGTATGCGTGATTATTTAGGTTGTCCATTGGATTAATTAATTATGGATTTAAAATCTAGATAAATAATCCAGTTAATTTCCTAAGAGAAAATTGTTTTTTGAGAAAATAAATTTTTGTGGGTTTTCTGAAATGGTCATGGAGTAACACGTGTTGACGCAAAGTGACCGGATTTCTGAAATCAAACAAATTTTTTTTGAATTAAACATTTCTTGGAAATTAAAAATTCTAATTTTTAAAATATTGAATGGGTGAAGGTTTTAAATTAAATATTTAATTATAAAACCTACGGGCTCCAATTGTGGGTTTATTAGTGAAATGATTATCGCTGAAGCCCCATCGGATAAGGATAATCGGATTTCGCTAGATTAAACCTTAATATCTTCAAAATTTTGGTAAAGTTTTGTACGGCCCATCGTCGGCAACACTTAGATACTAAAGATAATTTTGACAATAAACAATGGTTAAATACATTCAACTTTAATAAAATTGTTAACCCTCCCATCGAGGCTCTGACAATGGAACTGAAGGCCCAAAATAACAATATTAGTTTTACAAGTATCTTGCCCATCGTAAGCCTTGTAAAGATAGCTAATGGATTGTTAAACAATAAACGAATAGTAGTTATTAGAATCTACTAGCGCCATATCTGTTTGTTGTTTTCTTTTCGAGTTTGTAAATAATGTGTGTAATTTTATTTTCAGAAAAATGTCTTCATTCAATCCTTTAGCTACTATTTTGAGTCAAAAACCAATGGATGGTACAAACTACAAACAATGGAAAACAAATCTGGATATTGTTCTTCAATATGAAAAGCTCAATTTTGTTCTGACCACCCCTATACCGGCGCAGCCTGCTGAAGATGCGCCTGAGGCAACAAAGGCCCAATTTCAGCAGGAGAAGGAGAAATGGGAGAAGGCAAATGTGGCAGTTCGCTGTTACATTTTAGCCAGTCTTGCCAATCACCTTCAGGAGCAGGTAAACATGGTTGAGAGTGGAGCAGCTATGCTCCAGACTCTTGATGGCATGTTTGCTACGTCCAGCAGCTCTGCTAGGCAGATTGCGCTGAATGCTGTCACTAAGACAGTAATGTCTGGAGGAAGTGTGCGGGATCATTGTTTGTCAATGATTGCAAACTTCAAGAAGGCTGAGGATCATGGGGTCAAGTTTGAACAAGAAGTAAAAGTTGACATTCTCTTGCAATCATTGCCTGAATACTTCACTCAATTCAAGATGAATTATAATATGAATAAGATGAATCTTAATCTTACTCAACTGATGCACGAGCTTGAGAGTGCTGAACAGTCTCTAGTCAAGCAGGGCAGTGCATTTTATGCTGGTGAAAGTTCTGTGAAACCTAAGGGGAAACCCAAGGGGAAGAACAAGAACAAGAAAAAGAAGAAATCAGGTATTCCAGTTGCCAAACCAGTTGCAATGAAGCAACCGAAAGGTAAGTGCTTCAAGTGCGGACAAAAGGGGCATTGGAAGAAAAATTGCCCACGCATGAATCAGCCAGGTATGGGTAATTTACATGTGATTGAGGCTTGTTTAGTGGAGAATTACAATGATAAATGGATCATTGATTCAGGAGCCACTAACCATGTTTGTTACTCTTTGCAGTGGTTCAAACATAGCTTGCCTTTAAGCGAAGGACAAAGAGTTTTGAAGCTTGGAAATGGGGAGCTTGTGTCTGCACTGGCAGTGGGACAAGTTATTTTATCTTTTAATAATTGCAGAACTTTGGTTTTAGAAGACTGTTTATTTATTCCGGATTTTAAGAGGAATTTAATTTCTGTTAGTTGTTTGATTAAACATGGTTTAACAGTTCAGTTTAATTCCTCAGTTTCAATAAGGAGTTCGTCTTCTTTTATTTGTTCTGGCGTAATGTTTAATGGTCTTTATTTCCTTAGTCCTGTACCCTGTGAAGTTTATCATGTTGAATTAAGAGATGTTGAGGATATCAACTCATCAAAGAAAAGAAAAGTTTCCAATGAAACTTATCTTTGGCATTTGAGGTTGGGTCACATTAACTCAAACAGGATACACAGTTTGGTTAAAAGTGGGATCTTAAAATCCCTGAACTTTGAACCAATACCAGTATGTGAATCTTGTTTAGAGGGTAAAATGACTAAGAGATCTTTCAAGGCCAAGGGAAATCGTGCCACACATCAACTGGAATTGGTGCATACTGATGTATGTGGACCAATAAATGTCCAGGCCAGAGGCGGGTATCAGTATTTCATCACATTCACTGATGATTACTCTAGATTTGGACATGTGTACCTGATGCGTCATAAGTCTGAAGCTTTTGGAAAATTCCAAGAGTTCAAGGCTGAGGCAGAAAAACATCTTGGTGTTCAAATTAAGACTCTTCGGTCTAATCGAGGGGGTGAATACCTATCTGGAGAGTTCAGGTCTTACCTGACCCAAGAGGGGATAGTTTCACAATTATCTTCTCCAGGGACACCCCAGCAGAATGGAGTCGCTGAAAGGAGAAATAGAACCCTTTTAGAGATGGCAAGATCGATGCCTTACAACAGAAGCCAAATAAGATGGACTCTCGTACAGAAGTGTGCATGTTTGTAGGCTATCCTAAAGGAACCAGAGGCTGGTTATTTTATAGTCCGAAAGAAAAGAAGGTTTTAGTGAGTACACATGCGACTTTCTTAGAGGAGGACTATATGGAAAATCACAAGCCGAGGAGTACGGTTATACTTGATGAGCTAGTGTGGCGAAAGGGTACACCCAAATAGAAGGTGTGGATTATGAAGAAACCTTTTCGCCGGTTGCCATGCTCAAGCTTACTGGATTCTCTTATCTGTTGCAGCAAATCTTGATTATGAGATTTGGCAAATGGATGTCAAAACTGCTTTTCTAAATGGAAATTTAGAAGAGGAAATAGGCAAAATATGA